CACTCCCACGAGAACATCACGATTCGCTCGCCCCGCAAACCCGTCCCCAAAGTAGCACTGCCAGAGCGCGAGCGCAAGCCCAAGACGTCTCGACCCAACCTGGGGGCCTTGACCTGTCCGCCCGTCACACCCGCGGCCGAGTCGAAGCAGATCAAGGCGCACATGGACCGGCTCGAGGAGACTGTCAGGTCACTCACCGGAGATGCGCGGTCACCCATCAAGTTCCCGTCACCACAGAAGCTACCGTTTTTGAGCAAATTCTCTAACACGACTGATTTCACAGCCCTTGATGTCCACGAGAGATTGGGCGCCGTCGACACGCAGATGAAGCAGCTGCGGGATCTCATGGACAACTCGCTATCAGAAAAGAAGGCCGCCGACGATGCGCACGAGTTGATGAGGAGGCGAGGTACGCCGCCGGATGGTTCTCGCCGCCATGCAGGCAGAGAGAGAGAGGTCGATTCATGCTAACACGATCGCAGTGGCCGACCTCGAGACGGAACGAGAACGACTCGGGACACGCAACGAGACGCTACAGACGGATCTCGAAACCACCAGGGAAAAGCTCAAGATGCTGCAGTTTGACGTCGAGGCAGAGAGGCGAAATCACAAGTACGAGCTCGAAGACGAAGCGAGGAGGCACCGCAACGAACAGGACGAGCTTCGAAAAAAACTAGGCGAGGAAACGGAACGACTACAGAAAACCCACCGAGAGGCCCTCGAAGCTCTCGACCGCCAACACCGGGTCGAGCTCGAGGACGAGCGAAGCGCCCAGTCGAGAGAGGTGCAGGAGCTGCGGTCGAAGCTGGGCAGCGAGCAGCAAGACCTCCACCTCGCGCTGCAGAAGAAGGAGCGCGAGATGGCCGAGATGCGGGCGCAGATGGACGCCGTGCGGGGCGATCTCGACCGGGCGGAGGCGTTGAACAAGGGGCTCGCCAGCAACATTTCTGAGCTCGCCGCCTCCAACGTGACGCTCGAGGCCAAGATCAACTCGCTCAAGTCGCACGTCGAGTTTCTCGAATCGGACAACCAGGCGCAGTCCGACTCGTTCGCCAACATGGAGGCGAAGCTGCAGGAAGCGCTCCTCGCGGCGGACGAGGCGCGCCACAAGCTCATCAAGGAGGAGACGGAGCGCCGCATCCTGTTCAACAAGTACCAGGAGCTCAAGGGCAACATTCGCGTCATGTGTCGCGTGCGGCCGGTGCTCGGCGTGGGCGAGGGCGAAGGGGCCAAGATCACGTTCCCCGACGACAGGACGTCGGCCGAGATTGCGCTGCAGGGCGCCGAGAGACGACGCCATGGGCCGGCGTGAGCCGCAGACATTCAACTTTGAGTTTGACCGCGTGTTCGGCGGAGAGGCGCTCAACCAGGACGTGTTTGACGAGATTTCGCAGCTCGTGCAGAGCGCGCTCGACGGCTACAACGTGTGCATCTTCTGCTACGGCCAGACGGGCTCGGGCAAGACGCACACCATGTCGTCGGAGGACGGCATGATCCCGCGGGCGACGCACATGATCTACGACACGATCACCAAGCTCAAGGACAAGTCGTGGACGTACACGATGGAGGGCTCGTTCATCGAGGTGTACAACGAAGAGCTCAACGACCTGCTGGCGCCCACCAGCCGCGAGTCGGACGGCAGGGGCAGGCGGCTCGAGATCCGGCACGACGAGGCGCGCAAGCAGACGACGGTGGCGCACTGCAAGACGGTGGCGCTCGACTCGGCGGACAAGGTCGAGGCGATGCTCGCGCAGGCGCAGTCGAACCGGTCGGTGGCGGCGACCAAGTCGAACGAGCGGTCGTCGCGGTCGCACAGCGTCTTCATCCTCAAGCTCGTGGGCCACAACGCGTCGACGGGCGAGCGGTGCGAGGGCACGCTCAACCTCGTCGACCTCGCCGGCTCGGAACGGCTCAAGCAGTCGGGGGCCGAGGCGAGCGCATGAAGGAGACGCAGAGCATCAACAAGTCGCTGTCGTGCCTCGGCGACGTCATCGAGGCGCTCGGCCGCGCAGCGGGCACGTGCCGTACCGCAACAGCAAGCTGACGCACTTGCTGCAGTACTCGCTCGGCGGCAACAGCAAGACGCTCATGTTTGTCATGGTCAGCCCGCTGGAGACGCATCTCAAGGAGACGCTGACGAGTCTGCGGTTTGCGACAAAGGTATGTCACGAGCGAAAAAGGGGGGGCGGGCCTTCGAGAGACGACAAGCTAACAGGGTGCAGGTTCACAATACCCATATTGGCACGGCCAAGGCGACGAAGAAGGTGTAACGAACGCCTTTCGAGGCAAGACGTGGCTGGTCGACTGATGAACAAGGCGTTTTCGGGGGAGAGGGGGCTGGTTGCTGGCGCGGCGTTTGTATGTGTTTTGTTTGGATCCCCATGTCGAACAGGAGCGGGCAGGCTTGGGCCGCATGGCATCGGACAGGATTTGTATATCGACGATAGGGTATTCGTATGGGATGTGAAGACTCTGAGCCGCTGGCTCCAGGGCATGTGTTTGCTTCTTGCCGCTGACTATCGCATTGCAATTGAAGGTGCCTCGATGCTGGCTGACTGGCTTGTCGTTGTCGAGGTCAGGACATCGGTGCTGGACCAGTCCACAGGCGGCTAGCGATCTCGTTAGCGCCCGTCAGCGGCCTCAAGGGGGGGCCGGCCTCTGCGCCAGGGAGCCAAGGCCGCTAGCTCCAGGGACCGGGCCCTTTGTTTTCCCCTCCTTGTTGCCGCCCGCCCCTCCTTGTTTCCCCCTCCTTGCTCCTCCCCATCCTTGTTTCCTCCCCAATCCTTGTTCATACGCCCAACGACACGACATGGAACCAACCGACGCTCCATCTTGTTCTCGTCGAGGCTGCGCTGCTGGTCCATTGCCTCCTCCACAAGCAGCATCCAGTGCGTGACGGGCCATGAAGGCCATCGTTGACGCGATAGAGCACGACTTGACCAGCACATGAGCATCACCATAGCGTCAGCAGGCATCACCATAGCTTCAGCAGGCATCACCATAGCTTCAGCAGGCATCACCATAGCTTCAGCAGGCATCACCACAGCTTCAGCAAGCATCACCAGAGCTTTGACCATTGCGACACCAAAATGCACACGGCCTCCACCACGGCACCCGGCATCAAGCCCGGCGGCCTCGCCTCCTCGAAATGGGCTTCCACGACCTCCCCCGCCTGGTCCTCCCGCGGCACCCCGACCTACACCCCCCGCGGCAGCAGCAGCAGCAGCAGGAACAACAGCAGCAGCGCCGTCGGTCCCCGCGCGACGTCCGTCATAACCCCGGCCACGCAGTGGTGGGAGACACCCAACCCAGCGCCCAAGCTGCGCGACCCTGCCGCCGCGACGTCCGCAGCGGCACCATCCACAGCGACGCCGGCGGCAGCAGCCCCGACGACGGCGCCGCCGCCCCCAGCTGTCGGCCGCCCAGGGGGAGCTCCGCCGCTACGTCCAGATCGGTGCGCCGCATGGAGGTGGAAAGCTGCCCTACCCTGCGGGACGGGCTACCGGCCGGCGCCCCTGAACCCGCGAGGACGACGCCCGAGCCCATGTTCCAAGCCTCGAACTTTTAACAAGTACTACATGCCTCCTTCGAACGCCGCCCTCGTCCACCTTTCTCGGGCGTCTTTTGGCCGCCGCCGTCCGAAGGCCGGGCCCGCCCCCTG